GATCTTCTGTGTCAGCATCCGACGATAAGATCTTCTGTGTCAGCATCCGACGATAAGATCTTCTGTGTCAGCATCCGACGATAAGATCTTCTGTGTCAGCATCAGACGATAAGATCTTATGTCTTAGCATCCGAATATAAGATCTGCTGTGTTAGCATCAGACGATAAGATCTTCTGTGTTAGCATCCGACGATAAGATATTCTGTGCTAGCATCCGACGATAAGATCTTCTGTGTTAGCATCCGACGATAAGATCTTCTGTGTTAGCATCCGACGATAAGATCTTCTGTGTTAGCATCCGACGAGAAGATCTTCTGTGTTAGCATCCGACGATAAGATTTTCTGTGTTAGCTTCCGACGATAAGATCTTCTGTGTTAGCATCCGACGATAAGATCTTCTGTGTTAGCATCCGACGATAAGATCTTCTGTGTCAGCATCCGACGATAAGATCTTATGTCTTAGCATCCGAATATAAGATCTTCTGTGTTAGCATCAGACGATAAGATCTTCTGTGTTAGCATCCGACGATAAGATATTCTGTGTCAGCATCCGACGATAAGATCTTCTGTGTCAGCATCCGACGATAAGATCTTCTGTGTCAGCATCCGAAGATAAGATCTTCTGTGTCAGCATCCGACGATAAGATCTTATGTCTTAGCATCCGAATATAAGATCTGCTGTGTTAGCATCAGACGATAAGATCTTCTGTGTTAGCATCCGACGATAAGATATTCTGTGCTAGCATCCGAAGATAAGATCTTCTGTGTTAGCATCCGACGATAAGATCTTCTGTGTTAGCATCCGACGATAAGATCTTCTGTGTTAGCATCCGACGAGAAGATCTTCTGTGGTAGCATCTGACGATAAGATCTTCTGTGTTAGCATCCGACGATAAGATTTTCTGTGTTAGCATCCAACGATAAGATCTTCTGTGTCAGCATCCGACGATAAGATCTTCTGTGTTAGCATCCGACGATAAGATTTTCTGTGTTAGCATCCGACGATAAGATCTTCTGTGTTAGCATCCGACGATAAGATCTTCTGTGTTAGCATCCGACGATAAGATCTTCTGTGTCAGCATCCGACGATAAGATCTTATGTCTTAGCATCCGAATATAAGATCTTCTGTGTTAGCATCAGACGATAAGATCTTCTGTGTTAGCATCCGACGATAAGATATTCTGTGCTAGCATCCGACGATAAGATCTTCTGTGTTAGCATCCGACGATAAGATTTTCTGTGTTAGCATCCGACGATAAGATCTTCTGTGTTAGCATCCGACGATAAGATCTTATGTGTTAGCATCCGACGATAAGATCTTCTGTGTTAGCATCCGACGATAAGATCTTCTGTGTCAGCATCCGACGATAAGATTTTCTGTGTCAGCGTCCGACGATAAGATCTTCTGTGTTAGCATCCGACGATAAGATCTTCTGTCATAGATCACAACTGTGTCGAATATCAAACTCAAGGCATTGTGTCCCACAAGATGGTCTTCCCCAGAAGACTGCATACCGTATTAGCAGTACACTATCGTTATGTAGATGTATTGAAGGCATTGTGTTCAACACTATGGTCATCCCGTGAAGACTACAGACTACAGAGTAGCAGTACGCTAGCGTTATGTCGATTTTTTTAAAGGCATTAATAAATATAAATCTGTTCGTGGAAAAGAAAAAGATATCATAATTGGAACAGTCGAACTTCAACAGAAAGAAGAATCGTTATGAATTTGTTTTTCGAATGATTGTGCTCACAAATATGTTTTAAAGTGTTAACAGTGTTTCAAAAATGCTACGGACTGCTACAGTTGAATTATTGGCTGCTTCTAATCTGCTAAAAATATATTTCAGGGCATTCAGGGACAATGCAAATGAATACAACATTGCCAAAGAAAAGGCAGTTTTTCGTGCCCACCATTGAAGTGTACAGAACACCTTTCCCAACAATGAAGTTAACATACCACCTTGCCCAACAATGACGTGTACAGACAAACTTTCCCAACAATGAAGTGTACAGACCACCTTCCCAACAATGAAGTGTACAGACCACCTTGCCCAACAATGAAGTGTACAGACCACCTTTCCCAACAATGACGTTAACATACCACCTTGCCCAACAATGGAGTGTACAGACCACCTTGCCCAACAATGAAGTGTACAGACCACCTTGCCCAACAATGAAGTGTACAGACCACCTTGCCCAACAATGAAGTGTACAAACCACCTTGCCCAACAATGAAGTGTACAGACCACCTTGCCCAACAATGAAGTGTACAGACCACCTTGCCCAACAATGAAGTGTACAGACCACCTTGCCCAACAATGAAGTGTACAGACCACCTTGCCCAACAATGAAGTGTACAAACCACCTTGCCCAACAATGAAGTGTACAGACCACCTTGCCCAACAATGACGTTAACATACCACCTTGCCCAACAATGAAGTGTACAGACCACCTTGCCCAACAATGGAGTGTACAGATCACCTTGCCCTACCACGGAGTGTACAGACCACCTTGATTGATGTGTACAGACGACCTTGCCCAAAAAATGGGGTGTACAAACCATCTTTCCCCCCAAAAAAAACGGGGTGCACAGGCCACATTTCCCCAAAAATGAGGTAACATGCCTTGTTTCCCGTATTTCATTCTACTTGAGCTGATCGCAGCATCTCCTCACTTATTATCACCTATTATCACCTATTATCACCTATATTTTACTTGTACTTGTATTTTTTGGGATTTATGTAAGCGAATCTGAATTATTTATGAATAATCAATTAAATCTGCTCAGTATTGACGTCACGAGTTCTCAAGATGGTAACTATTGTGTTTGTTATGAAGGCCCATTTTGGGTCAAGGTCTCGAGCGATTCGTTCGCGTCAGAGAAGGCCTCATGACTTCTACTTCTAAAACTTGACTTGAGCTGTTCCGCAGAAGCCCACTGACATCTATCTCATTCAATGCTTCATTCTCAACCAGAAGCGTAGCTAGAGCGTTTGGCGCCTGGGGACAAGGTTCATTTTTGGACCAATCTCAACATTGAAGCCAATTACTTTCATCATATTTAAAATACCTCAAAAAGCCCAATTTTGCGCCCCCAAACTAGTCTTTGCGCCCAGGGACAACACAGAGCAGTAAAGTTGTACTTTCATTAAAATAGTTGGATAACAAATATTTCATTTATTGATTGCTTTTATTTGACAATTAGCCCCCCCCCCCCTTTCCCCAACCAATCCTATAACCGCAAGGACCAAGTAAATCATGAATAGGAAAGTTTAGCGTAAAGAGTAGAATATGCGTAATGATAAGACAAAGGCTGTGGCGAGACAGGGGAAGTGTGGAGTATTGTGTGGTGATAAGTAACATAGCGAAACGTATTTATCCAGACTAATTGGTACCAAGTGTAGGTATACCCATCAGATACACACGATTATACTATTTATAGTTAGCCCATGCAATAATTCAATCGCGCTGTGTGGTTAAAACTAAATGTCTGTGCACGAGACAAGAGATGAATTTTCTTGAAAACCAGAAAGAAGCAGTTCGAGGTCTACTCTGAAGTGTCAGTTACATCTGTTGGTTACGGTCACTTAAAATACTGTGAGGCTTGACCCCGCTTCCACCCTTGTGACCCCGCTTCCACCCTTGTGACCCCGCTTCCACCCTTGTGACCCCGCTTCCACCCTTGTGATCCCGCTTCCACCCTTGTGACCCCGCTTCCACCCTTGTGACCCCGCTTCCACCCTTGTGACCCCGCTTCCACCCTTGTGACCCCGCTTCCACCCTTGTGACCCCGCTTCCACCCTTGTGACCCCGCTTCCACCCTTGTGACCCCGCTTCCACCCTTGTGACCCCGCTTCCACCCTTGTGACCCCGCTTCCACCCTTGTGACCCCGCTTCCACCCTTGTGACCCCGCTTCCACCCTTGTGACCCCGCTTCCACCCTTGTGACCCCGCTTCCACCCTTGTGACCCCGCTTCCACCCTTGTGACCCCGCTTCCACCCTTGTGACCCCGCTTCCACCCTTGTGACCCCGCTTCCACCCTTGTGACCCCGCTTCCACCCTTGTGACCCCGCTTCCACCCTTGTGACCCCGCTTCCACCCTTGTGACCCCGCTTCCACCCTTGTGACCCCGCTTCCACCCTTGTGACCCCGCTTCCACCCTTGTGACCCCGCTTCCACCCTTGTGACCCCGCTTCCACCCTTGTGACCCCGCTTCCACCCTTGTGACCCCGCTTCCACCCTTGTGACCCCGCTTCCACCCTTGTGACCCCGCTTCCACCCTTGTGACCCCGCTTCCACCCTTGTGACCCCGCTTCCACCCTTGTGACCCCGCTTCCACCCTTGTGACCCCGCTTCCACCCTTGTGACCCCGCTTCCACCCTTGTGACCCCGCTTCCACCCTTGTGACCCCGCTTCCACCCTTGTGACCCCGCTTCCACCCTTGTGACCCCGCTTCCACCCTTGTGACCCCGCTTCCACCCTTGTGACCCCGCTTCCACCCTTGTGACCCCGCTTCCACCCTTGTGACCCCGCTTCCACCCTTGTGACCCCGCTTCCACCCTTGTGACCCCGCTTCCACCCTTGTGACCCCGCTTCCACCCTTGTGACCCCGCTTCCACCCTTGTGACCCCGCTTCCACCCTTGTGACCCCGCTTCCACCCTTGTGACCCCGCTTCCACCCTTGTGACCCCGCTTCCACCCTTGTGACCCCGCTTCCACCCTTGTGACCCCGCTTCCACCCTTGTGACCCCGCTTCCACNAAAAATATATACACACTGTATATATATATATATATATATATATATATATATATATATATATATAAAGGCATTAATGTGCGTGTCATAAACAACTTTCCGGTAATTCTTTTATTCAGCTCAAAAAGGGATTTGCTTGTACCATAACAACTTGTTCTATAACCACAACTAACCGGATCTTTAAAAAACATAATTACATAAACAAAGGGAATATACTCTGACAAACTTTCTTGGACATAAACAAATATGGCTAATAGGGCAATAGGACGTTTAACCGTTCGCTTGACATCAAAACGCTTGACCCCACAGAAAGCACCCCTTGTTCTGGTATAAAATTCTCCTAAATTTGCCTGATCTTTACTATTATTTTAAAGACTCAACTCTATTTAGCCTTACTTTATAATAATTAAGTGAGAATGCCTGTTGTCAGTGTTGAGTTGAGTAGGTGAATGTGGTCATTTGACATTGTCATTGTGGCATGTTTGTGGTGTTACGCGACCGTAATACTTAACTTTTCCTTAAGTTAAGTAGTAATACTCTGTAAACTGTATTGTACTAGATGTTTGACAATAATTGGCATAGTTTTTTTTGTGTGAAAAAAATGTCTGCTACCCAGTCATTCTACTGGTAAAATTAAGTAAAGTAAGTTTAAGTATAAGTAAGTCTTAATTCTAAGTTAAAGTTAATTTGTAATTTAATTTGGTACTGTTCTTTTTCATTTTCCTCTATTTAATAGGCCTCCACCTAGCTTACTTAACTTATTTGAATCGAAATTTTACAAGATTTTATTTTATTATAATAATATAGCTTTAGTAAAGCCTTTGGCTTTACGATTAAATAAAAAGTAAACTGAAGTTTATAATTATAAGTTCCTACTGTTACTTCTTATGCAGTGGTGTAGGAATGGGTTCGGAGCATTGCAGTAGTCCATGCCTGATAGCACGAATGCAGACACCAGTCTCTTTGTTGCATTAAACGCTAAGAAAGGTCTGATATGACTAATTCTGCGCAGCTCTAGAAAAATCGCCTTGCAAAGCATGTTAATATGATTTTCCATAGTTAGTGTTTTATCCAAGTAGACACCCAGGTTTCGCACTGTTTGAGCAAACTCAATCTGTATAGATCAGATTAGTGGGCAATACACCATACTGGGAAATAATATTAAACTTACCAATAATGTACTGAATTATTTTAATTTTAGCAACTTTTAAGCGCAAGGAATACTGGTATGTTAAAATAAACAAAATCGACTCTTGTTTTTAAGTACCGTATTTATATGGTCATCAAATTTTACATAGTTATCTTTTACTCATGAATTACCGGGTATTAAGAAATATCTTTAATAATAATACGGGTATACAAATCTATGAGCTATGAATCCCATTTCTTAAAATAATAATAATAAAGCGTGGTACAAAGTAAAAAAACCCTATAATTTACCACATTTAAAACAAACGCAACACTACAAAACTAATTACAAGCATACCAAGTCAAAGTCATTCTACCCATTTCAACCCTAAGCAACACAGCCAATATGCATTAACTGGAAAATATGGTAGACAATCATCCCAGAAGGTGTTTGCAAAATAGATGTGTCTTTAAATCGGTTTTAAAGGACTCCAGTGTCTGGTTGTTTCGGAGAGCGACAGTAAGGGCGTTCCAAACTGTTCGGCCTGCAAATGCGAAAGTGCGCTTTCCGTAAGTCTCAAGGCGAACACGCTGTGTCGAGAGTTTGCCACTATCGGATGAGCAGAGTTGTCTAGTGGGTACATAAGGCACAAAATAAATTATATACAAACCATGATTTTATAAAAATAAATACATTTTTTATAACCTTGGATACTGCATTTTTAGAAGAAAAAAAAAGACAAAATATTGGTTTTGCTAAAATATTGACAACTTTTTAAAAAATATTTTCATTAATTTTCATAGAATGTTTGTATAGGGTTTGCATTAGATCAGCGGTTCTCAACCTGTGGGTCGCGACCCTTTGGGGGGGTCGCACGACCCTTTCCCAGGGGCACCTAAGACCATCGGAAAACACATATATTCTACAGTTATGAAGTAGCAACTAAAATAATTGTGTGGTTGGGGGTCGCCACAACACGAGGAGCTGTTTTAAGGGGTCGTGGCATTAGAAAGGTTGAGAACCACTGTATTAAATGATGATGTATTTTATTTGAATAAATTTTAAATGTTTTATAACAAGGAGTTTTTTCCCTTTATGCGGTGTGAGAATTCTGCTTTTAATTTTAAATTAAGTACTGGTATTATTCCAATATTATTTTATACCGGTATGTATTTTTATAACAAAGTACATAAAATATACAAAAAATATCTAATGATAGCTGATTCAAAGATGAACAATTTAATACATATAAGGTATAACTGATCAGATCAGACCTATTTCAGGTATTTATTACTGCTACCAAAAATATCACCTTAAAATTTGTAACAAAATTTAAAAAAAAACGACTGCAGAGAGTTAAGGTTCTATCTAAAGACAATTTTGGCGGCTGTTGCTCTTCGACCCATTTTCATGACTATGCGTGAGGGAAACATAGCACCCAGGGCAATGCCAATGCGGCATGTATTCTAGGAACCCCTGGGCTTGCCAAACAGCCAGTGGTGAAAACCTGTGACATAATTGGTTTACTGTGATGTCATAATCATATAAAGATTATTGGATTTTTGGTTGTTTTTTTTTTTGATGTGGGGTGGGTGGGGGATCAAAAGCTCACTGTACATACCTATTGGGGAGTCGTTAAAAAGTAAACATGCAACAGGGGGAATGGAAGGTAAAAAATGTGTCTTTTTTCCTAAGTACTACTATATTGATGGCCCTTCTTAATTATTTAAAACACAATTCATGTATGGACCCATCAATTTAAGTTATGTGTGTCCGATTTCTGTCTGGCACACAGACCGAAAAAGATAAGGATCTCTAGTTCAAAATGCTCGAATAAAATAATGTAAAATATTTTTATCTCAGTAAAGTATACAGATTAATTATCGTTATTATTTATAAACAATCTTAACATTTCAGTAAATCTTCAAAAATCTTTTTTTTTATTTGACATTAACAAAACAAATACCAGGTAATGAATTTTTTGTTCAAATATTCATGGAGCTTAGCTGGACATTATTTATGTTGATAGTACTGTAGTAATGTATTACTATTAAAATAAAATAAAAAATTCTCTCTTTGTCATTAGAAAATTATTCGCCTTTAAAAGCAAGTGAGAAAGGCAATATTTTTCTTTATTTGTAATTTCTCAGTCACAGCCTATTTTACCAAGTGTTCTCAATTAGAAGTTTAAAAATGTTCCATTAGTTTCTTAAAGATGGCACGTATTTTCACAACATAGTTTTCTGAAGGATGGCTCCAGCTTTACTTTCAAAATATTGAATGATTGTTTATTAAGTTTAATGATCCATAGTTCCAAATATTTTATTTGACAAAAACTAAATAGACCATCTATTAGCATGACGCTTGTCAATATTATCCTTTACAGCAACAAGGAGCATTTTTTTTGATACCACGATTTATATAATTTATATTTGAATATCTTATACTTGTATTTCAACAGACACCAAATGCTGTGAAGAAATTAAAACAGTTAATGGACGAAAGGCCAGAAATGGTAAATTTTAAAAATTTTTTTTTTATCTTAATCAATATTATCAACAGGACAATTATGAAGGCAAAAATAAATTCATTTAATTTCAATCAAATTTTAATAATTTTCTTTTACTTTTTTTGTAGGTACTTTAGATAATTTACTGGGCTAGTAAAATGAATTAGAAAGATTGTTGACAGTCAATCACTCTTTTTACAAGCTTTTTAAAAAACAAATATTTGAGTTAATATTTTTTAACTTTATACACTATAAGAATAACTTAGTATAAGCTATTTTCACAAATTTAAATCTGTTTCATGGATCCTCCATTTGTCTATTCAGAATTTTGTTTTAATAATTTAAATTTTAAATAGGTTGATTTCTGAGCAATGACATAGTACAATTATTTTTTTTGAATTTCTTCTCTAATTTAAAAGAAAATAACTCCAAAACAGTAACAATGACCTACTCATAAAAAATTGTCTTAACATTTTTGCATTACTGAGTATCTATGATTTTTTGTTTCCCTTCATAAAAAGCTCATGTTGTGGTCTGGATATAAATAGAAGCTTGTACAGGTACTCCAAAAATAAAAGTTTTAATGAGTATTTATATTGTTATTATTTCTACAGAATGGTGTGATGATAGGAGTGAAAACAAGGGGCTGTAATGGTTTGACCTACACACTTGATTATGCTGAAAAAAAAGGAAAATTCGATGAAGAAGTTATTCAAGATGGTAAGTTTTTAAAAAGATATTAAGCTTTATCATTTCCAGTTCTTTCTTTATTCAAATCATTTGAATTTACTTTTATTTTGCACTGGAAAATCTTAATCAAAATTAGCGTGGGGGCCATCAATATATTACTTAAGGAAAAAGTCACATCCCCACCGCTCCATTATGTTTTCGGACCGCCTCACCATGTGTACTTATTAATGAGCTTTTCACACTACACACCTAAATATATCTGCATTGACAATTGTTGGTTGAGCCAAACCAAAGAACTAGATCACAAATTATATCAAACTACCTGGTACCTGTTACTACAGTTTTCACTAGGTATACACCTTTTCTCAGAATTTACGGTGAGAGTGTGCTGTATAGTATATAGAGGTATATATAAGCTATTTATAGACTGTCAGAATCTCAGGATCATTTTTGCAAAATTTGTTAAATTGGTAGTGGAAACAGACAATGTTTAATTTTGACATAGCTGTCAGAATAAGATAAGGTAAGATTCTTTCATTGATCCAAATAAATGGAAATGTTTTTTGATTACATTGCACATATTCATTGTCAGGACATACATAAATACATAGTTTAACCAAGACAACTTTTCAATTATACAAATTTAAACACAAGACATCTAAAGTATTTCTCTAGCGTAGAAATCATTCATCGATGAACCCCCTTAGTGACAAAATTGACTTAATTAGTGATAATTTAAATTAGGTAACCACTGGGAGAGCATGCTGGTAAATTTGTACAGACTGGGGAACAAAATAATTTTTATATCTTTCAGTCCTAACTTTAAGAGAAAGAATTAGCCCTGATCGAGCTGGTCAGAGGTATCTGTGATGAAGAGGGTGGGATATATCATCCAAATTATACAATTTTTACAACTGCATTTTCCTAACAAACAATTATAACAACTTTAAAGGTTTTGAGGGAGGGTTTCGGAATATTTTTGCTTGAGTACGATGAGTAAATTTTTAAAGAAAAACTTGAAATCATAATAATTTGAATACTAATACTATTAGGGCCTACATATCTGTATCATTTAATTAAAGCAGTTTTCAATTTTTTAAAACCTGTTTTGAAACACTATGTGGTACTATTTACAGAATTCTCCAATGAGAAATTTATAAATATTATTATGCATTAGATTATTTTGCAGACAAAATGACTTAAAAAACACTTTAGACAGGTTTTATCAAAATAAGTACCGTATGATATCCTTAATATCAACACACTTTACAATTTACTGCTGTCTTGGTTGTAGGTGTCTTTTTTAATGTTATTTGCAAAACCTATTTCCCTTTATGACCTTGAAATCATATGTGAAGTTTGCATTTCTGTTAAGAATTTATTTCTATTTTGATGATGAAACTTTGTATGAAATATTAGAAGTTTCTGACATTTAAATCATTTATTAATTAAAAATTGTGAAATTATTATTTTATAATATATTTTAAAAAATACTTTTGAAAATAAATACATCACTAGGTTGTTTTTCTATTCAGCCACTTTGGAAAGTACTTTTCATGTATTGTTTTATTGTAGAATGAGTTGATGATAAATTACATCTATATGATCATTTGGTATACAAAATGATTAAATGGGAAAAAGAATAAATATTTAATTTTTTTCATGGCCATAATTAATGTTGTACATGCTTTTGACTTGAACAACGGGCTTGTAGCTTATTACACTGAAAAAAACAAGCTTGTCGATTATTACACTGGAACCAACTGGCTTTTCGGTTATTACACTAGATCCCAACTGGCTTTTCGGTTATTACACTAGATCAAACGGGCTTGTAGATTATTACACTGGAACAAATGGGCTTGTAGATTATTACACTTAAATAGTTTTCTACAGAGCTAGAAATAATAAATCGAATCTTTAAAATAAAAAATATGAAAAAAAAAAATATTAACCACAATCTCTTTTCCTTTTTTTTTATTTAGGTGTTAAAGTGTTCATTGATGCAAAAGCACAGTTAACGTTACTTGGGACAGAAATGGACTACCAAGAAGATAAGCTTACAGCAGAATTTGTCTTTAATAATCCTAACATCAAAGGCACTTGTGGGTGTGGGGAAAGTTTTAATGTATGACAGTGATGAATCCTCTATGTCTTTACTAAAAATTTAGAACTATTTGAAATTGTATCCAGGGTCCTAAGTACCGCATTTGCAGTCAAGTTCTAAGCTGCATTATTCAATTAATACAAGAAATTTCAGCATCAGCCATCCATCAGCTTTGTGAAAGTGAGTTTAAATGTAGTTCTATTGTGGATACACTGAAAATTAGTGCATTTCCCTTTGGTTAAAAAAATTTAATTCTTTAATAATCAGGCTGTCAAATATGTTTAAAACTAAAACTTGGTCAGCACAAAGTAGGCCCGGCCCTTTTCTGACAAGGAAATGTTTATTTCATAAGGTTTTTTAAAATAATCAATTCCTTGCCAAAAGAAATTTCATGTGTGTGTGAAATTGTGATGATGCTCAGAGACCCAAACCATTGTCCTGATATATTCTTTTACAACTAGATCTACATACATTGAATTTCCTGGCACGTTTAAGGCAATTATCTATATAACTCTAGCTTAAGTTTAAATTACTTAATAAGTTTTAAAAAAAACAACAAAATTTTCTATGAGATAAAAAAAATTTAATTTTCAAATCTATTTTTTTGTCATTAGTATTTATTGAAAAGGTCAAAATACATAAGTACGGTACATTATAAATTAAACTCCCGACTGTGCTAACTCTTGATGATGATTGAGTACTTTTATAGCGCTTGTGTCCATGCTTTTTTTAACTTGGAATCAATTAATTTCCTTCTTGTATAGGAATTGGATTGGTTGTCTTTCATTGTCTTTGAATTGTCCATTGATCATCAAAAGATGATAGATCTTCTGTATATACATTCAGTTTTAGAGATTTTTTTGTATTACATTTCCAGAAGAATAAAATCATATCTGAATTAAGTCATACTATTTTGTTGTTAATTTAAATACATTTAACATTTTGTCCAAACATATTAGGTTTTCTTTGGATAATGTTTAATTAATCCAATTTTTGCTTTTGAAGAGAAAAATCTTTGTTAAGCGAAATTCTAAACAAAAAAAAATTGCCATTCAGCTGTCCACAGCAAAATTTCAATACCTATTTATCTGAAACTGTTTAAGTATGAGGAGCACTTGTACTTAACACTATTAACTAAATAAAGAATTATACAATGTTAAAATTTTGCGTTTAATTCTTTATAAAATGTCCCATTTTAAAGAACGATGAGCAACAACTTTTAATTATTCAATAATTTCTAAAGAACTTATCAATTCCCAGGGTGTGATCAATTTTTAAACTAATTATGGTTAAAAATTACATCTACCACAGGCACTTACAATAAATAAATTGGAATATCCATAAACCAAATTGTAGAGATGCGTACGTTTAATATGAAAATCAAAATATGAACACATGCGGTCCTCAGTCTTCATCAATTCCTGAAGAAACTTTTGAAAGCTTTTTGCACATTGTTTCTATCTGCACATTATTCATGAGCTCTGATGCCATCACTGCATTAGCCATTGCAATAGTCTGAATCTCATTGTTAGCTTTAACCCACACACGACCATTTATTCCGACTGCAATCTCAAACTTGAAACGCCTGCCAAGCTGCTTTAATACTACACATTCTGGATTTAATAATCTGAAAATAGTAGGAAATAACAACAAAGTTGTTTCTGACAACTTTTCTAACAAAATAACAATCATTTTATTTTTTTTATGAGTGTTTAAAACCTGTTATATTTTGTAAATAATAAAAATTGTGAATGATAAAGTCACTTTCTTTTGGGAGATAGATTTTTTTACCAATTTATTTTAAAATCCAACAAAGGAAATTAAGCAGACATCTTTCAGTCTCATGTCATGTTCATTATATTTTATGAGCATGTTAAGGAAATTAGAAACTAACAAAGAATAACTTACTTTCGGGCTAAATTTATATGACAGTGAAATAAAAATCCGCCCTTTCGAATGACACCCATGCCGCTGCTACGTCCATGGCTGTCAATGCAGACCAATTCTGGCTCCATGTCTTTATTAGCCACTAGTAGCTTAGCATAAACAATATCTCCTATCTGTAATAAGAAATAATTATAACATTTTATTGTTAAATATAATACAGTGAACATGTAAACACAATCCAACTCAAAAGAACAATTGTCCCCAAAACTGATAGTAAATAAAACTGGTTAATGCTTTGAAATGCACTTTTTTCTATTTGGAACACTACTAGAAATAATTTTAAGGTAATAATAAAAGACTTATTAATTTAACGTTCAAGGAAACTTTAAAATTCTGCTGCAAGTACACTAGAAAGGCATCAATTAATAAAAATACACTTGCGATTTGCACAGCATGTTTTTTGCAAAATGTAAATAATTAATACTTAACAAAAGTGTGCTTAGTATATCATGTATTCATAAAATCAGATAATATAAAAATGAATTTTAGAGCAATGATTATTTATGTTCCTAGATAAATTAAGCTTAAACAAAAAGGTAGGGAGGTGGTGAAATACATTAATATTAATAAAATGGAAATATTAACGTACTTTAACATCAGGGCGATTTCTTTTGGTTGCTCCTTCAAATGATAAATAAGACAAACTGGCGAGTTCACTGCCTCCAATATCAACACGAAAAATATCACCAGGTTTCTGGGTTATAATACCAATAACTGAGTCATTCTTTGCTGGAACGTACTGGAAAATGTTACAATGATTCAGTACAGTATAATACTTTTCATATCAAATCACAACATTGATACTACACAAGATACTGAAATTAATTGCAACAATACAAATACATTGTACACAGACAGCAATATATGGTATACTAGTTGAGCTGTATTTACAAACATTTGATGTGACAGTATTGTTTGATGATTGATATGTAGTTGGACAAGTTTTACTTTTCTTCCCCCAAAACTGTGTCTGTTTTGGAAAAGGTTGCCCACCTTGGTCTAGGAAGGATTATTCAATAATGATATGTTCCTCAATTTTTAGATGTCAAGTAAATTAACACTGGACACATGTAAATGTTCTCATGTAATGAGAAAAGCTTTCTTAAGCACCACCCAGGACACAATGTTCTCATGTAATGAGAAAAGCTTTCTTAAGCACCACCCAGGACACAATGTTCTCATGTAATGAGAAAAGCTTTCTTAAGCACCACCCACAGGACACAATGTTCTCATGTAATGAGAAAAGCTTTCTTAAGCACCACCCACAGGACACAATGTTCTCATGTAATGAGAAAAGCTTTCTTAAGCACCACCCAGGACACAATGTTCTCATGTAATGAGAAAAGCTTTCTTAAGCACCACCCACAGGAAAGACATTCACATTTGTGCACCAATACAAACTTACATTAAGCATTCATGACCAACCTCAATGCAGTGCAAAATCATTTTATTTGTATAGCTGATAATAAGGAAAAACGTGAAGATGGATCTCTAGATCCTGCCATTTCCCATGACCCGAAATATGAATTACTATATAATGTTCTAAAAGCACTATTTTAAGTTATTTGAGGTAATATTATTGACTCAGGAGTCATATAAAGAGATATTTAATTGTATTTCTTTATTCAAATAGTGAAACTTCCACTCCTACATAACAGACTTACTTAGGAGTTTGGTCTAAGCAACCTGACAAATGTATAGCATGGAAATATGAAGAAAAATTTGTTTTATCTTCATAATAGATTTAGAATTAAGATTTCTTCAGTATTTAGATGAATTGGTATTTTGAAATACTTCACACACAAAAAACAAAAAAACAAACCCACTTTGTTTTATTTAATTTAAATTTAAAAGCATATCAATTGACTTCATATTTGCAATTTGTAGCCTATAGTTGTTGAAGCAGCACAAGTCTTGTAGGTCTTCTAAGAAAACTAAGCAAAAAGAATTAAGAATTGAAAAAAAAATCCTATAGAAGAAAGACTCCTATTATAAGCTGAATATTGTACATTTTTCATTAGACTTAGATTTTGCTATCGGAGATATAAAATAAACTACATTTACATTTTTAAGGGACACACGAGTTCACCCTTCCATATGCCACCTGTTATTGTTCCCCTTTTAAATACGAACAATTTCATAAACATGACTCTATATTTAGGAGAATATTGTTCATGTTGTGTTCATATAAAAATACGACATTGGAAAATGTGATCACCATTTTGAATATTAATAAGCTCATCTTGAGTACAGCAGAATTAATTATAGGGCACCTGTTTTGATAATGTTATGACAATCACAAATAATATGGTTTGTAATGATTATCTACATTGATTCTTTAAATAACTTCAATTAACTGCTCTTTGTAACATCTATCTCAAATGTCTCCAGATTTTTTTATTTATTTTAGTCACTTTTATATTTTCCTTGTTATGTAGTACACTTTTTCCCCGTGCGTGAACTTTCTTTGACCCCGCATTAGACTTCTAGCAGACGGTAACGTTTGTTGTGGGCGTGGTTAAATCTCTTTGATGTATCTTGTTTCTATCAGCTACCAATTAAACATGGTTAGTCCTAGTCTCCTAGTTTGTTGTGGAATGATCGCGATTTGTTCTAGAAAGGTAAACAAATGCTGAGTAGCTCCTGGAATGCAGTGCTTATACTGTATATATAAAGGATTGACAGGGACGGAGATTGAGACTGATTCAGATCGATATTTTTAACTTTACGAGACGTGTATTATTCTTTATGTTCTTATATATGTGTTTATTCGCATTTCGTCATTGTACGTTATTAATTGGCACATTGTACTAACTGTGTACCGGTACAAGAGCTACAACACTCTGTAAGTTGATGATTTGTAATTATATTTCTTTGGTTTTATAATTGTATTATTACTAAATTAAATTTTATTAATTGTAATTGGTACTGTTTTCGGTGTCGTATTTTTGTTATTGTATTTCTCTATGGTATCGTCCTTTGTTAGGCACTGTTTGAATGAGCCATAAAATTAAAATAGGAGATTAATTTCTCACAATAGAAGCCAGTGGGTAACATCCTATTGTCTCAATTAACAGAGTTATCCCAAAATAATAAAATAATTCAAGAAAAAAATCATAAATTTCTTTAGACTTGACGTGCAACCATAAATTTGATTTTGATGAATTTCATTTTTCAGGCCCTATCTAACAAACTAGCTCTTAAATCTAAAACTTCATATTGAACATTTTACCCAAGTACCTACAACATTATTATTCATAAAAAAAAAAAGAATAGTTAAACTCTTGTAACAATCCAAGAATAAACAAAAAAAGGGAACTCACTCATTACGGTGCGAACCATCAAAAGTACATTGTCCTGGGTGGGGATTAACTTTGAAATAGTCAATTTATCTTTTTTTAAATTAAAACCCCCCCCCCCCCCCCATAACTGAGGGAAAAAATAAATAAAGCAATTTGTTATATCTTCACCGGAAACGGAATGGGCTCTTGATAACACTCAATAAGTTCAATGAGAGTCAGAGTTTTTAAAGCAAGGGAGACTACTAAATATCTGTATTGGATATGGGCGTCGACACAGAAGAATCCATCTTTATAATTTTTTGGAGGTTGGTGCTTTTGCATTAATAAAAGGACTATTTTGTCATAAAATTGTGGTATCCTTCCACATGTTCTTGATCGACATTCCAACGTACTGTTTTGCCTTTTTTGATCAACCTTAGTTTTGTAAATTCATAGGTATATATAAGGCATCTTTCTATCATTTTTTTTTTGTTCACACACTCAAATTTTGCGTCAAATTTGATAGTGTGACCTGAAAAAAAAATTCAACCAAACTCCCGTCTATTAATTTTCCATCTATGAAATTTCTTTCAAACAAATTTCCGGAAACCCTTGCATAATGTCTATACCATAGTCATAGTGCTACCTCCGAGTTTCATTCATAAAACTTTGCTGTGTGCAAAAACTATTAAACCCTTGGTCAGGGAAAGCTTTAATTAATTGGTCAAGTGCCAAAGTTGAAAGTTCAAAATAAGTAGTATTTTAGTAATAAAGCGATGCATTGCCTTATATAAACTATATAGTCAATGTGCACGATGGGATCAGCATAATGAAGTCACAAGATGTGGAGGTTTCATCCATAGTAAAAATATCAAATGAACTCGTACTTTAAAAATTCGTTGCTCGAAAAGTACTAAAGCTAAAAAGTTGATTCTGGTTTCATTTTTTTATTTAAATTTGCTCTAAATAACTTAAATATTAAAAAAAAAATATTTTGAATTGTTTATATTTATACTGAAATATCTACATGATTGTTAGAATCAATAGTTAAAACTTTGGTATTGTTTTTCTTTGTATACTGGTTTTAATTTGTTATGTATTGTTTATTCTATGAGCCAAATCTTAAAACAGATTAAATTAAAAAAATCATATAAAAACAACGGTACGTAACATAGTAATATATAAAGCCTACAATAAAAAATTGAATTAACGTAAGGGGCCATCCATAAATGACGTCATGCTTCTAGGGGGGTGGGGGGGGCAATTTTTTGTGACGACGCTTGATGGGGGGAAGGGGGGGTCTTGAGCAATGTTGCCTCACATGAAAAGCGGAATATTTAAGTAAAGCATTGTCCTTAATAACATTAAATTACAGACATTTTAACATTATTATTTTATACCACAATTATAATTATTTTATTTTAAAACTACGATCAATGAGAGAATCATTACAGGCAGAAGTCGTCTCAGAAATGGCCACTTATCAAGTTGCAGGACGCTAAGGAGCAGAAAATGGGTGTAGTGACTTTGACAGTTGTGACAATTTACGGCTAAATATGGAGACGGGAGTTATAGAATTAGGACTACCACGTAAAGTAGGAGGGAACGAAAAAAGAAGTAGTAGGGAACGAAAAAAGGGTTGACGGGGGTGAGTGGGATGCTTAGTAAATGCTCTAGGGCAGGGATTCTTAGCTTTTTTCAGCGCTGCAGGCCCACTCTGTTTCAAACATCCCTCCCCACCACAATCGTGTAAATTATATTGTAATAAAATTTAAAAATAATTTAATAATTTAGTTATCACGTTATTTCTTTCATGAACTATTTATAAACTATGAAAAAAATTACCAATAAAAGTAATGCGTAAACAAAATTCACCAGAAAAATATCTACTGCTGATAATAAAATGCATAAAACTGATTTTTAAAATTAAAACCCAGCCACTTAACTAGCAATGGCAGCAAATACAATTTTCTGGTCTTCCGCACCTCAGGGCTGGGGAGATACTTTTACCCCTGGTTAAGAACCATCAGTGAAATGTTTCTGACACAGGTGCAGTCATTTGATAGCCATCCGCCATGGGAGGTGGATTTTTACAATTTAAGGGTTAGTAAAAATTAAAAGTAAAGGACATTAGTAGGTACTTTAATTTTAAAAATAATAAATTTGAAATAATTTTTTAAATAATACAGTTAAATCTAGTTAGAGCAAATTTCAAATAAAAAAATGAAACCAGAATCAACTTTTTAGCTTAAGTACTTTTTGAGCTACGAATTTTTAAAGTGTGAGTTCCTTTGGTATTTTTTACTATGGACGAAACCTCCACATCTTGTGAACTCATTCCGCTGATCGCGTCATGCGCTGATCGCGTCATGCGCAATGACTATATACTTTATTTAAGGCAACGCATCCCCTTATCACTAAAATACTGTTTAGGGTCGACTTAGTTTAAACTTTCAACTTTGGCACATGAATAATTAATTAAAGCTTTCCCTGACTAATGGTTTAATAGTTTTTGCACACGGTAAACTCTTATGAATGAAACTCTGAGGTACTACTACGAGATACATCCATTTTGCAAGTGGCTGTGAATGGTTGCCAATGACGACGTTTTGCACACCGTAAATTCTGATCATTTATAATATGGACTCTACCAGGTTTTTAAAGCTCAAATTAAAACATTCCAGTTTAAATGTCTTCAAAATGCATTCTGAAACACAAGTTATCAAATATTTTGATGTAAATAGTGGTAATAATTTAATATTTCATAAGTATCGGCAACTTCCACCATTAAAAAGTGGGCGTGGCCCACGCAATGTCGAAATTAGGCTGAGCAAATTGCATGACCTGCTGCAAACCCGTAGAATATGACGTCTCTCGTAAAACACATATGGCTGTGAAAATTGGCATACATGTAGATCAATATAAGCCCCAGATGCATAACAAATTTGGTAGTGCCATGTCTTTTACTTCAACTTGATTTTAATGGTTGAAGTTGCCTTATATTGACCAAGGATTTTCTCAAAGCTGACTGATTGTAAATGAAAAAGAAATTGATTAAAATGTAAGCCAAGATGTCCCCTAAAGCGAAAGGCTGGAAGAGGAACACAATTCTGGGATCTAATAATTATTTTATGAATGAAATAGTTCCACTATAAAAAAATTAAAAACTCGGATTTTCGCGCGCGCCGACGCCTATTTCCCATACACTTTTTTGAGTAGTCTCCCTTGCTTCATCCAAGTGCCCAAGAATTTTTATATGGGGGGGGGGGGGGCACAGAGATTTGTACATTTATTTTGGGGGGGCCTAATTTTGGCAAAAATAAAACCTTGCTTCATCCAAGTGCCCAAGAATTTTTATATGGGGGGGGGGGTGCACAGAGATTTGTTACATTATATTTGGGGGGTCTAACTTTGGCTAAAATTAAGAACGAATGCCACGGTGCCCACTGCATCTTTTGCGTGTTTGATGAATTAGGGTTCAGGTTAGGTTTAGGGATAGCTTACATTTAGGGTTCAGGTTAGGGATACATTTAGGATTCAGTTTCAGGTTACGGATACATTTTTGCTTAGAATTAGTGACGGAATTAACTGGTCTTGTCAACCAAATTGGCTTAATTAATTGGCGTCAATTGGAAAAAAAACATGGCATCTCTTCTTTAAATTTACCCTAACTGAAAATTATTTTGGGGTAGGGCGTAAAAAGCGGCAAATTTAGCGTGACGTCATTTATGCCTATGGATGGCCCGGCCACACTAGCCCTAACACAACTTAATACTAAAAAACTACTTTAACTTACTAATTTTACTTACTCTTTTTTGGTGACAATCAATCCAGTAAACGCCTGGCTGTCGAAACTTCAATATTCCTGGCTTAGATATTTTAATAAAATTGCCATCTTCTATCAAACCAGGACCTAAAATGACCTTTTTATTTTCTTCGACTGGCTTAATACAATCTAAAACATCACCAGGCATAACCAAGCACCCAATGTGTTTCTCCATTTTATAAACAATGTGAAATCATGTACAAGTTGTACTGCCACTCACTTTTTTTAAATTTCCCAAGATTCGGTCATGAAATTTCCCAAGATTTCCCAAGATCATATAAGTATATAGGAGGTTTTTTTTAAGGTGTGGGGGTGGGGGGGGGGGGGG